TTATTTTGTTCTTTATGGCTTTTATATATATGGGTTTGTCCAAGGATTTATGTCCATTTTTGTTGCAGATAGTAAGTTTTAGTTTTGTTAGCAGTGTCCTGTGCCTTTTTTGGGTTCAAGCATGTCATTTGCTGTCTGTTACAGTGAAAATGGACATTGTATAAACTGCCCAAGATTAACTGCAACTTATGTCGGCAGGATATGTAAGGAAATCCGCAAGACAATGCGACACCATTTTCCGCTGTGACAAAATTTTAATATAACAAAAAAAACAAAAAAAAAGAATTTAATGAAATTTTTGCTGAATTAAATTTACAACGGATTAGTTGCTTGGTTTTTTTGAGATTCTACTCAGAATGCTGTCTTTAACATACATATATTTTTGTTATGGTTACTGTGTTTTGTGCAGTTAAAGTCTAATTAATGAGAAAACATTATTAAGAGGAAAATAATAAGATTTTTCTTACTTTATTGTCATTTTGCAGCCAGATTGCCTAACACAGAAAAGTCATACATATAATAAATATTAACAATGGATACATTTTGAAATATCTATAGTCACTGCTTTTGACGATTTATTTACCTACGCGATTTTTAATCCTATTATTATTCCTCGACATATATTTTTAATGGATTGTACAAATTCTTTCATCAAAACCATAACCAATCCATAATATTTTTTCCTGGGGTTATCACGTTTTATCATGTGGGTTTCTTTATTACTCTACATTATCATTCCATACTACTTCCTCAGAGGTACAGATATGAAAAACGATCTATATGGTGTACTTTTGCTGACTGAGAGTAAGTTAATGTTGCTATTGAATATATATGAAGTGTGAAATATGTAAAATATTCGACTGTTTTAAAGGTGTAGTAGTTAGAAACTAGCTGACTGTTCAAATGTTGAACATATCTGTTAATGGCCTACATATGAAATACTTCGGATTATCATCCGACTTTAGCTGTCAAGCACCTTTGTGTATGTATGCATGTGATAGGTATCAGGTTGGTTTTTTAGTAATTGAGAGATCAAAATAATGCAAACAATTTAAAATTGAAATTAAAGTCTGTGCTCCGTATTACGTACATAGATCAACATACCATAATACAGCAGTTAAACAATACTATTACGTTTTAATTTAAAAATTTATTATAAAATCTAGTAATTGGTGAGCTTGAATTTCAACTAAACTTCTATTATTCCTATATTTATATTAAGGGTATCCATCCAAACTGATAAATGCCTCGTAACCCTTGTAAACGTATAAATTTATCTGCTTGGTAAATGAAGCGTCAAATTTTATATGAAAAATAGTTTACACAAACTTAATCATTTTTACCGAATAAATTTATATCGTACAAGTTTATTTGTAGTCAATACAGAATTCCATTCCAACACAAGCAAATTATTTACATAAATATATTTGAGAATAATTTTTAGTTTGGATTTTTCGCTTAATTTAGGTATTTTATTTTATAATTTATTGATAGCGACACAACTAATTAATAAATTGTGCACATATATTTTAAATTGCATCGATATTGGCTAAAAGGTTGCGCTATTAGGCATTGCATTTTGTGCCGTCATAATTATTGATGATATAAATAGTGCTATTATACAGCAGATTGATAAATTTACAAAAATATTCCACTAACTGCGTTCACATAACCGTGTACGTAAGCGCATAAAATTACACATTTGATAAATTTATATGCTTCGGGGTACACCCTATTATATCTGAAGAATATAGCTAAATAAAGGAAACTCAAATTGTATACAAAGTATGTTACTAGATAAATAATGCAATAGAAGCCACATTGTAACTAAAGTTAATTTGTAGTCATATTTTATTACAATTATTTGGTCTAACCGAACACCTTCCATATTTCGAACCACTGCAATAAATATAAGAAAATATATAGGAAAACAGAAGAAGATTTAGTCTTAAGTGACGATTTAATAAAGGCAGCAGCGAGAACTATAATAATTAAAGTCTTTAATTTCCATTTGCTATCGCAATGTTAGTTCTGTATATAGCTAATTATATCTGGCATATATACTAGCAAAGTAATATTTTTGGTCAGTGTTTGCCATTGTAGTAACATCCGGATACTCTTTATTACTGTTTATTTTAGAAACAATGATAGCCTTAGTGATTTTCAGCAACCACCTCGATTTATATTGAACATATGTATGTGCAGCATACTAGATGCATGTTTTTCGCCGATTGTAAATTATAATCTAATTTCTGGTCGATTAATTAGGGAATAGCTAGATAACCTTATGTACATTGCTGTGAGGAAATTATATATTAATGGCTTCTATGTTTCGCACAAATCTGAGGTCGATTATTAATTAAAGTTTTATTTTTATAAAAATATAGAACATAAAGTTGCGATTGTTTTCTTAATAATCCCATGGATTCTTCAAGAAAAACTGTGAGTCATGTTCTGCAGACAGGCAGAGTCACGTCAAATGTGGAATTCTTATTATTTCATTGTGAATTTAATAAAATTTAGCAATTCATCATGAATTGTTTAATGCTAAAACAACGCTTCCAATTGTGGAAATTTACTTTGAAAAAAAAAATAAATCTGTTCAATAGGTTTATAAAGCACTTCGTCGAAGAATTATGTTTAGTTATGAAGCTAATTTCAAATTGTTTGAATGCGATCTAATATGATTAGCGTATGCGGCAGCGATGCTTTTCGCTTCCTCCTTAACTAGTGGTATATTAAGGTCATGATGAATATGTGAATTTGTGATGTACCACGAAGCGTTCGCTATCATTCGCAGAGTCTTAGATTGGAATCTTTGTAATATTTCAATATTTGAATTTGAAGCTGTTCCACAGTTGGATGCCATATGACCAATCAGGTTTCAAAACAGATTTGTGGTACCACAATATTGTTGAGCTTTACTTCCGGACAAGTTGCTCTTCTTAGTGTGAAAGTGACATGAGATGACTTGGACTCATTTGCTTTTATACGCCAACGCCTAAGCCAAATTGATATGTCATCGAGACTAGCATGTAGCATCAAAGAAGCGGTTGTTGAGTTTTTTTATGTAGCTAAGATTGCCGTGTCATCTGCAAATGCCCCAGTGAAGATATTAGTTCCTGCTGGTAAGTCATGCGTAAATATTAAATATAACAATGGACCTAAGATGTTGCCTTGCGGTACTCCAGCTTTTATGCAGTGAAGTGATGAGATATGATCATCAAACTTTATATAAAAATAACGTTATGGGAGATATGATTGTAAGAACATATAAAAGTTTACTGGTAATGCCATTTTTAATTTATAAAGAAGACCATCATGCCACACACGATCAAATGCTTGTGAAATATCCAAGAACGCTGCCGAGCAATATTTATTTTGGTCAAACTCCGAGTGTATTTTTTCTACTATTCTGTGTACCTGTTCTATTGTGCTGTGACCTTACCTGAATCCAAATTGATAGTTTGGTATAACTTCACGTAATTGAATTATGGGCAAAAGACATTTTAAGAATAGTTTTTCGAGTACTTTTGACACAATTGATAGTAGGCTGATTGGACGATATGACCTCACATCCTCGCCTGGTTTATTTGGTGTAAGTATCATTTTGACCTCAGCAACTTTCAATTGAGCATTGAAGATGCATTTTGTAATAGATGCATTAAATATATACAACAGGAAGCTTATTCCCTCACTTGGTAATTCTTTAAGAATTTTTGCTGAGATGAGCTCACATCCAGTTGCCTTACAATCTTGCAAATTCGCGATTTCTGTAACTAGTTCATTTCTTGAAAACTTTATTATTGGAAAATCCATTTGGTGTATTTCATCCAGATATGTTGAAACCTTCTGCTCAGTGTAGAGGTCATATATATTATTATGCGGAGTAAACACGTTTTCCAGGTAGTTAACAAATAGAAAAGCTTGCTCATCTGCAGTTTTGGCCCACGTATTATCTGGCTTTCGTAGTGGTGGATTATAATCCGTTGTATCGCTCAATTTTTTATTTACCTTCCACAGCAAATAATTTGTTAGGTGAGTCGGCTTTAAGCTTCGAAGAAATGATTGCGTCGTTTGCTCATGAGAATGATGAAGAAACGATTTTAGCTCTTTTGTTATTTTATAACTTATGAAGCGAAGATATTCCTCAAGCCGTTAACGAATACCATTACATGCATTCAAATTGACTGTTTGATTCAGTTTACACGCCTCATTTCTTTAGAAATAGGAAGGAAATAGGAAGGACAGCCATGCTGACTGAATTTTTGTTTCCAAAAATTTATCAGTTAAGCATCGATCATCGGCGCGGCTAACAATCGATTTTTGGCCTCCTCGTTCGTGCGATGTAATGCCTCTCGATCACTTTTTATGGGGCTATGGTAAATTATTGGTTTATGCCGACAAACTAGCAAATCTTGAAGCATTGGAAACAAATATTTATGTCACCATTGACGCCATGCGGCCACATTTATTGCAAACAATTTTTAAAAATTGAGCTTATTGAATGGATGATGTAGCTCGTAACCGCAACAGACATATACCGGAAATCATATTAAAAAAATAAATGTCATGAAATAATCTACCACATTATAATAAGAAAAATTTATTCCAACAATATTTCTGTCTTGCATTACCATTATAAGTTCTAATGCGACTAAAGAAACACCCGATACATTCTGCTCACGCTTCCACACAAAAAAATTTCCTTTTAAATTTAAGCAAAATAGAAAAGTTTAAAATTAGTAATAATATAGGTATTATAGTAATAGTAACAGAAGTACTGTTAGTACTATATGTCTTAGTATGACTTGATAATCATTAATAGAAAGTGCGTAAGATTGCCATTTCACATGACAATGACTGTCTGCATTAATTGGATTTAACAATAATTGACATCTTAAAATTTTAAATTCTTATATATTTGTAAATAACTTAGGAACCAATTTCTGACAAATTAATTAAACTTAAAAATACATTCTTTTTCATTTAATAGTGTTTTTAGAACGTATCAGGAAAAATTTTAAATTTTCCGCCACTTTATTCGAAAAATTATCGTTTCCTAACATTAAAACTCAAACATCTTTTCTTTACAGAAGTCTTATTCTGTTTTATTGAGCTCGTCTAGGTAGGTTTTACAAAAAACGATGAATAAGGAGTTAGTATGTTCAAAGCTGCAGGGATGGTGGAGAAAGGTAAATTTTAATAATTTCCAAATTCAGAAATACATTATTAAGCAAATTGTTTACAGATAGCTGCCAAAAAAGAGCTGTTTATAAATATTCTATTTTGGACTATGGTTATAGGCGTTAATGTCTATGACTTTTTGGGTTTATGTCACTTAGTACCAAGGCACTATACCCATGTATATCGGCCATTTCAAGATTCAGCATCAACTTACATATTTTATAACCCCAGAGCCTTTTATGAAATGTATTATGGAGATGCCATTCATGATCAGGAACAATTGATGAGCGCAGACGGTCAGCAGCCTGACGAACAAGTAGATCAACAAGGTAAAGAACAGAATGGCGAGCATGAAATGGTACGGGAACGTGAAAGCGAGGAGTAAGAGGAGCAACGCGAATCTAACGCAATAGAAAGAGCAGAATAAGGACAGAATGAGAAAAACGTTTTATGTAAGATTAAGAAGAGAAACAAATATACCTGAAGTAAGAAAAAGATAAATGAAAATTTAAAGTGAATATGTTCGAAAAAGGCTCGCTCGAAAATTCCCAAAATAAAACTAGTATGTTTCAGATTTTGATTATTAATATTTGCAGAACTTCTTTTAATAAAATTTTAAGACCTCTCAACATTATTTACTTATTTAAGAAGAGATGCTATATAATATCTATAAATGATTACAGTACAGTTTCTAAATTTTTAATTATATTTGTGTGTCACAAGGAACCGGCTGCTCTGGAATATTGAATATCATTCCATTGTAAATTTATTGTCTATAATTATGAAACAAAAACAAGCATTTCAATTGGGTATAACAAATAAAAAAAATTCTAGTGAACTTTGAAAAATTAATGTAATTTATGCTGTGAACATTCCGAGCCTTTGTATGAATACAAAGTAATCGATGAGACAATCGACAACGTCATTCATATGTTTACGATTTGCGGTCACGGCCATAATATAGGAGCGCATAGCTTCACTTATTCTTTACTTGGATACACATTACCAAATATTGATACTCATCCATCAATCAACACACGCCCAAACAATATATTGCCATATAACTGTCTAGAATAATAAATTGGACTAGCACAGAACAAGGCCATAAATGTATATTGTGTTTTGATAAAGTGTCAAGTCAAAAAAAAAGCATTAAAACTTTCCTTGTTATAATCGGAATTTTAACACAATGGATGCCATTGTCTCACCATCACCGGCAGTGAGTTTGTCAAACAGCAAGCAGACATACCGAATTAGTATCATTTGAGTTTCATCTTTCAGCAATATTGGCACATAAATATTAATAGTAATCTGTAAATATGCCCGATGTTGATAAGTGTATGGATGGTTTTATAGTTCCAACTGCAAACCAACACGTATGTGACGGAGAGGAAGTAGACTAAAAACCGTAACTATGACATGAAAGTGTCAATATGTAAATTTGTAAAAAAAAACGTAAATAGAAAAAAGAAATGGAAACCGCCCAATATTTCAAATCAATACACAAATGGGCTTCGGGTTCGTTGAGTGCAATTCATCAATTTATTGCACTCACTTTGCATCATTCATCAATACGTAGCTTCATATTATTTTTTATATGCGAATATTGCTAATTTCATCACCTTGCCACATGGTGGGAAAGGATATGTAATGGAGCAGGAATGCGAACTGTTGAGGTTTATTACGTGTTTTTTAACATTTCATATCCAGAGCTACAGACCTGAGAAGTTAATTGTAGAAGTAGTGATGATCAGACAACAAAACAAAGAAGTTAGAAAAACTCAATCTTATCCTTTTTAAAAAATTATTGAAGGCGGCTTGTCTTAAATCTATTGTTGGAACAACCACAGTCAGAAAACAAAGTTTTTTTGCTAATAAAACTGCTCCTTCCCTTGTGAACGAAGGATTTATACCTTATACCTCTGATTTTTGGCAAGAGGTATTTGTACAAGGACGCGTCATATATTTTTCTGATTAGAAATGCAACAAAAGTTGATATATGTCAGTGTCTCCGTCTGTTTGTAGCCAAAGTAATGGTAGCCTTTCCCTTAAATAAATGCAGTTTCGAGTGCGATTTTCAGATAAAGCAAGAGTGAAAATAGATAAACCTTGTTGCATACACCATGTGGACTAACTATAATAATGCAGAATGAATGTCAACAATGAGTTTTTATGTAAAATTTGTAATACCATATATGTATATAAAAATTGTAAATGGTAATGGAAAAACTTCAGTAAACAGTAAATAATACAGTTTCTATATAATTATTCGCGTAAAAGGTTTTTTTGATACGTCAAAGCAACAAGTCATGTTTTCAATTTTATATTTGGTTCACAGCAGTATTATTTTAATTAATTAAACTAAGTATAAATTTTTTTAAATATTTTGGCTTAAAGAACTGAAATTCATAACCATGTAATGGAATAGATATTTAAGTTGACAAAGCAAAGAACTAATTATTTTTCTAGATCCAAAATATAATTGTTTTTCTAAACTATTGTTATGTAAAGGTTATTTAATTTTGTATTTATTCATTTAATTAGCAAATAATTATAGGTGGCTTTGTAAATTAAGGTTGAAAAAATAATAATTTGAAATGTGGGTTACTAAAAAGTTAAAGAAAACTCAACATGAAAGTATAGCCATCATAATTTCACACTCTTTACGCCGTTAAATGGTGAATTCCAGGACTAAAGGCTGGATTTGTTGTGTTATAAGAAATTAACTGATCTATACTACCTAAAGGAAAACAATCTATTCATCTTTTCTTGCCGAAATAAAAATAAGTGAAATGTAAAGCCAAATGAATTTTGGTTTCTTAACGTACACGAAGCAGAAATCTCAGTTAATATAAATATTGCGCATTTGCATTGCATTTTTTTCATGATCGGATTAAACTTGAGTTGTTTGTGTTTTTATGATGTTTTGCTTTATGTGTACTTTATCGTAACTAATGACGGCTACGACAATTGATTCAGACTTAAGCTTCGATTTTATGACACTTACGAGATAGTCTTTAAAATATGAGGATGTAATTGCCAACTGGGTGACACAGAAATAACAAATAAAGATTATACAAAGGCACACAGGTCAGACAATATCCTTCATAACTGATTGTCCTTTTCATACATTACGGATAAAGTGCAATATACTTACGAATTCAAGAAACTAATTGATTGGGAAAATTACAAAGTAATATACTTTTAATCAAAAATAATTAATATTTTCTTGATTATATTAACTTCGAAGTTAACTAACTAATTGACTAATTTAATTAATAGACATTACAAGTTAATCAAAATATCTCAATCAAGTTATCACCTAAAGGCACATGGATATGTTCTTAAAGCGTATTGTCCTGAAAAGATTACCATAAGTCTGTACTTCGATGCTGACACAAATGAGCTATTTAGACCTACGTAGCTTCAGAGTCTATCATCTATCTAACTTTTTTTTTTATTTATTTTCCCAAATTATGTATGCAATCTGTCTATCATGCTTTTCCATGCTAACACTTTTTATAAATTTTATAATTATTATAATATAATATTATTATTATATTATAATTATATGTAAGTATATAAAATTTATCTAAAAATAGATAAAGTGTCTTATTTGCAAATAATGCTGAAATAGTATAAATAGCAACATCAATTACTGAAACTCTAAATTATAATATATATAAAGTTCATTCTAAGATATATTCAGTCGTAGTAATAGACACAATGTATATGTCTCTGTCATAAAACTACGATATAAACTACCTATGTAGTAGCATATATATTCTACAAGACTAGACTATACATTTGTTAGTTCCGGCGAAGTAGAAGATATTTTTTTGACCAGTGTACGCGTAAATACGTTAAGATATTACATTGAGATATTAAGATATTATTTAGATATTATTCTTTTGTTATGATAATTAATACACAAAAGATAGTTATTTACTGATGTTAGATTAAGGAAATCAAATTTTTTTCATTCTTTATATATTAAAGTGATAGCGAAAATACTAAATAGAAAATAATTTCTGCTGAGGTAAGTTGGTTATATTTCTTTGGACGTTTGCTGGCCGAAAGCAATGAAAATGTTATCTTAATTGTTTGTATTTCTTTAACAAAAATTTTACATTTTAATATTTTTTATACACGGAACTTCTCATAATTATATTATATAGCCGTGAGTTTCAAAATATATTTTTAGTTGCTTATAGCAATTCTCTCTGCATTCCGAATACATCTTTCTGTTTTTGATTGCTTTGATCAAAATGTATTCGTTCTTTTTGTTTTTAATTAAATTCTATCCACAGTCGACTTGCATTGAATATCCACAAGTGCCAGTGATTTGGAAATAAAAAGCAATAAGCAATGCGAAATATTCAAAATAAAAAGAATTTTAGTCATCGCTCTTATTCTTATTTCAGCAGGTACAGATACGAAAAAATTAAATATTTTTATATTTTTCAATATTTTTATTGAAATAGTTTATAAAATATTATTTTTGGTACTTTTATTTCTGCGCTTGATGCCATGATATATTCAGAAATAAATTAAAAAAATAAAATAAAATACTATTTAAACGATATAACGATATTCTGGGCTTTATTTATTGTTATTGTTAGGGGATGTTGCACTATGACCGTCGGGTCTATTGTGTCCCTTCTGAGTTTGAAATAGGTCTCTGCATTAGCGCAGTGCATTCTAACAGCACATGTGCGACCGATTCTTCATTCCTTTTGCAGAAGGAATAGTTCGCATCCGTATATATATCCATACAGATGCAATGTGATATCTCGTAATGTGATATTTTGGTTTACAGAGTCTTGTTAGGATTCCTGTGATGATTGTAAGTTTTTCTTTTGCTATGTTCATATAATCCTGTTTTGGGCTGTATATTGTTGTTTAAAAACCTGTCCAAAAAGTCGTCACAAATAAATTAGACTTTTTTAACTTAAGACAGTTGTTTTATTAGGACAATATTATGTAGAGTAGAGTGTCATGGGTTCGTAAGAATTGGCTTTTTTTTACTATGACGAAAATGCATGTTTTGCAGAGCGTTACAGAAATTTTTATAATTTTCTAACAAAAAATACAAATGTTGAGATTTATTAATAAATAAAACTGTTTTGCCTATGAGATACAGATAGTCTCGGGCCTCATGACCAAATTTAAACCGATATATTGTATTTTCTTTCACTATCAATTTCATAATATGCATTCGAAAAAAGAACAATAATTTTGATTTTGATGAGCCCATGACACTACATATTTTGGCCATTAAAGATAATTATTTTAAATTTATACTTTCCAAAAACATTAAAAAGTTAATTGAAAAATTCTGTATTAAAAGTCTTCTGCAATCAAAATCGGTACGCTAAATCTTGTTAACATTAAAAGGGTTCGGTAGAAACCGAAACAAATGGAATTAGAAGATACAAGCTTTGGGCTATACCGTATACCTTATATAGTGGATCAAAACTTCCTGACCTAGTTTCTTCAATTTGAGGCCACAGTCATCAAAGTTGTGTGTGGCCTGGCTTTATTGTAATGGAACACAATTTATTTTCAGTTAGACAATTCTGTTCAGTATTCTTTAATTATATCATTTAAGCGAAGCAGTTGTGAGCAGTAGAG